GAGAAACTCACAGGATTTCTACACAGTCACCTGCATTCTGGCCTTTAGTCACCATTTATGCCTGTGCTATGGTGGTGATAGCATTCACAGATGTTTTACGACAAGCCCAGGAGGCAGGATGACAAATTACAGACCTCAAGCAACGGAAACTTTTTGGTTTAGAAAATGCTCTTCAAAAATGGTGTTTCAGGGTCCCACAGCAAAACAACAGCTCAATTCAAACACAATCAGACACCAAGAAATTCTATCCTCCACCAGCCCACAGTAGGCCTCAAAGGCCCTCGGCCATTAACAGGATGTATTAATCCATCTCGGCTTCAATCATGTTAAACAACAGCGTTCCTTGAACTGAAGCTAAGCCTTGAAGCTCTGAGCCCTGTAAGACCGCGCTGAGGGACGAGGATGACAGCTTGGCTGGTATAGAGGTGTCTTGTAAGTGCGAGGACAGTCTGATCCCCGGAAACTGAGTTTTTAAACAGTGAGGTGTGGTAGGTGTGTTTATCTCACTGCTGGGGCTGGGGAGGCAGAGACAGATCCCCAAGGCTCACTGGCCGGTTAGCCTGGCTGATGTGGTGGCTCTAGGATGGTACATGAGCAACGGTAGCTGAAGTTGTCCCCTGGTTTCCACAGGACATGCATCCATGCACACACACACATACACACACACATACACACACACAGAGAGAGAGAGAGAGAGAGAGAGGCACAGACACAGACACAGACACAGACACAGACACAGACACAGACACAGACACAGACACAGACACAGAGAGAAATGAGATTGGAGGGAGACATGTCTGTTGTTAATCTGATCACAACTCAGATGTGCCTGGTATAGCAGAGACTTGCCCTTCAGAATGGGGAGGATTAGAAGATTCCCCTTCACACGGAACATTAGCCTTCACATTGCCTAGAACATGCAGTGTATGCTCTACACTACATATAACATGGGACAGGTAGAACATGACAGATCAGAGACGATGGAAGATCACGTTTTCACATTGTCATTCAGCATAGCAAGTGTGCTCATTCTCGAGTCTGTAAGGTCTGCTTTCTCACAGTGAGGTCCTGATAACACCTTTAAATATTCGGGTCCTGGGATCCTAGTTCATCACACTGGATCAGAGTCAGGGACGGTGACCCTGCTGAGTATGATGGTGCACACCTGTAGTAAGTAAAACCAGAACACAGAAGGCTGAGACAGAAGGATGTCAAACTCCAGGTTAGCCTGGGTTACATAGTAAGAACATCTCAAAGAAAAGTGGGTTTTTTGGGTTTTTTTTTTTTTGTTGTTTTGTTTTTAAAGAATGAGGCAAGAGCCAGGTGTAGTGGCACACGCCTTGAATCACAACACTCAGGAGGCAGAGGTTGGCAGGCATCTATGAGTTCTAGGTCAACCTGGTCTACATAGTGAGTTCCAGGGGAGTCAGGGCTCTTGCATAGTGAGAGGCACTGTCCCGGAAACAAATGATCAAACAAGAATGGGGCAAAGATCTTAACAGTAGTTTAGACTTCATAGGGGAGTTTGATGAACTCTGAGGTCTGAGGAAGTATTATAATCTTTTATAGCTTTGTCAGTACAATTCTATGGAGCCTTTGCCAAGGCCTTCTCTGCACTGAGAACTCTCAGAGTTCTAGCACTCTCCCTATGGGTCCCAAAAGCCGCTTTCTCAAGTTCAATTGAGAAAATTCCTAATATCATAAGGAATTAATCATTCCCAAGCCCATATGCCAAGTCCTTCAAGAATTTAAGAGCCACTGATTCATACACACACACACACACACACACACACACACACACACACACACACACAGCAGTTTCCCTTTTTTGGTTGAAAAGCTTTAGGCTTCTGTCGAGGCAGGGACTGTGGTGCTGGGGACTGAACCATTGGCCTTGTGATCTTAGGCAAGCACTCTACCAACAGAGCTACGTTCCCATCCAGGCTCTACTCTGTCAACTACATTTCACTTGGCACTTTGCCAAGGAGAACCTTGAAGCAGAAAAGAAAAACACTGATCAAGACTCAGTTACGAAGCCAGGAATCTCTGGCTCACTATGAACCAAGTCCAGGGTCCTAACCCATTGGAGGGCCAGGACTTGAAGCCTTGTTTTCTCATCTGTACCAGGTTATGAGCCCATGTCAGGCTGTGAAGAATTAGAACAATGAGCCACTACTCACAGACACCCTGAGGAGTCCATCAAGGCGCCTGGTAAACTCCCCCCATACTCTAAGAGCAAGAGAACAAGCCACCAATGACAGCCCCAAACTCAAGCAACACCTTTTTGGAAAGCTTTCTGTTTTCCATTTTAAAGGTACATAATTTTGGTGGCTGGGAATGTAGCTCAGTTGGTAGAGTGCTTGGCTAGCCTGCACAAGGCCCTGGGTTGGATCCTCAGCACTCCATAAGCTTAGGCGTGGTTGTGAACATCTAGAATCCCAGCATTCAGGAGCAGAGACAATAGAATCACAAGTTTAAATACATCTTTGGCTACACAGAAAGTTTGAGGCCAGCCTGGGCTACATTAGACCGTCTCAATATCAAAGAAAAAATAAAGAATAAAATTTTGAGGACTCTCTTCCCAATTTTCCCTACGGTTTACATGCAAAACATGGTTTTAGTCAAGTAATTGGGTGAAACTGCCTCTTAAGGAAAATCTGCTTATTTACTCTGTAGCTTCCCTCATTCCTTGACACATGACCAATCTCCAATGCAGACCCTCATCTTGATCTCTCTTGGAGAGGATCAGGGTAGCCTACAACTATGCAAGCAAGATCAGGAAATGAAAGGATAGGCTAGTCACAAACAAAGCAACGTGCCCTGGGATGCAGGGCTGGAGGATCAAGAGGCTCACCCTGTGGGAACTGATGGCTGGAGGGAGGGCCAAGAGGCTCACCCTGTGGGAACTGATGGCTGGAGAATCAAGAAGCTCACCCTGTGAGTACTGATGGCTGGAGGGAGGGACAAGAGGCTCACCCTGTGGGAACTGATGGCTGGAGAATCAAGAGGCTCACCCTGTGGGTACTGATGGCTGGAGGGAGGAACAAGAGGCTCACCCTGTGGGTACTGATGGCTGGAGGGAGGAACAAGAGGCTCATCCTGTGGGTACTGATGGCTGGCTGGCAGGCACAGCCTGACTGTGAATGTTAATCTTTAGACTGCTATCAGAGAAAAAGAAAATCAACCCTGATCAAAGCAAGGACTCCGGCTAGAAGGAAATCATTGTCCTTGGCCTAATAGCTGTGCGTCTCTAGTACCACTGGATGAGTGCATATGTGTGTGTGCCGTGAAATCAATAGAAACCTGATTTGACTAGCTTTGGCAAAATAGCTATCACTGATGCCAGTGGCTCTCAGGTGGCCATGGTTATCTCAATCTAGCTCCTAACCTCTCCAGCTCACTCTTTACAAAAGCATTTAATTAACTCTGTGTGTGTGTGTTTTCTCCAAGCCCATAATGAGGTGTCAGACTCTGGACCTGGAGCTTCATGCAGTTGAGAGTCATCTGAAGTGGGTGCTGGGAATTCAACTGCAGTCCTCTGGGTGAGCAGCACGTGCTCTTAACCACCGAGCCCTCCAGCCCCTACCTGCTCTTGTGTTGTTTTTGGTTTTTGTTGGTTAGGTCTTTCTTTTTCTTTTTCTTTTTTTTTTTTTTTTGAAGGCTGGATCTCATGTAGTCCAGACTAGCCTCCAATATTACCCAGAACTACCGATTGTCCTGAAGTACTGGGATTCTATTCCTTTGAAATCTAAAACAGGAAGCTTTCAAAAGGGCGTTGCTTGAGTTTGGGACTCTCATTTTCCCCAAACTTTTCTCAAAGGCAAACGTACACCTGGGTTATTTGGAGTCAAGGATAAAATACAAGCAAGGCCGGGCAGTGGTGGCGCATGCCTTTAATCCCAGCACTTGGGAGGCAGAGGCAGGTGGATTTCTGAGTTCGAGGCCAGCCTGGTCTACAGAGTGAGTTCCAGGACAGCCAGCGCTATACAACCAAGGCTTCTGGTATGCTGGTGGCACGCTGTCAACTGAAGTATATGCCTGGTCCTCCTCATTCTTCTCTTCTCTGTTCTCTAGGGATTCACTGCCATTCGTATGGTTGCTTCCCATCTAAGAAAGCAGAGTGTCTGGAAGTGATGGGCAGCAGAATAGATAACAACCAGCCATCCTATCCACCCTTCTACCATCAGCTAAAGTGCCCAATTTTAACGAAAGGCACAGCTGCTTAGGGCCCACAGTGCTCCTCCAGTAACTGGAGACTTTCATACACTTGGGTGCACATGGAGCCAGCAGAGTGTTAAGCCGCCAATTGTCTTAAGCGGCAAAGTTCTCGACTGGTCAAGGCACCGAGGACTGAGTTAGAATGTAGCCACAGGCAGACACAGAATGAAAAACTAAGAATAGGATGATTCCTGTGTGCCAGGCATTGTGCGGAGACTGTTCTCTACAAGAGGGGTGAGGAGCGCCCTAAGAGTAAGAGAAAGCAAACTTACTTGCAAAAGGAAAAGGTAAGACAAGTAGTGCTGGAGTGAGCTTCAGAGAATGTTAACTCGGTGGTTTATCCACAATGTGGAGTCCCGGGTGCTTGACTCAGCAAAGGACTGCGCGGGACTCCAGTGCTGAGAACGGTGCGGCACCGCCTGCCGCAGCCCAGGTGGCTGCTCCGGTCCAGGACCTCACGCTTCCAGGGTGCGGCGCCAAGTGGCCCAAAGAACCGCCTCTGGTCGCAGCACCCGGTCCCTGAGCCAAAGATCCCCAGCCACAGTCTATGACACCCGGCGGGAGCCCAAGATTCCCAGGACCGAGTCCAGGACCGGCGGCCGAGTACAGGATCCCGGGGTTAAGTTCAGATTTCCAGGCCCCAGCTGCGGCCGAGTCCAGGATTCCCCAAATAAAGTCTAGGTCTCCAGGTCCGAGCCTAGGACACCGGCCCGGAGCCTAGGACCCACACCCAGAGCCCAGATCCCGCGGCAGAGGTCTGGACCACTGCCTAAGACCCTTACCTCTCCTGCGGAGACAGGCTGTGGTCTACGGCAGCTGCCACACCCTCGTCCCGGCCGATAGGACCCGCCCCGTCTCGGGGTGGAGACCGAGCCTAAGTTCCTGGTTGTCCCTCGGCCCACGGGAAAGTCCCTCCCAGGCGAAGTTCAGCTGGAGCAGCACAAGAATCGCCCCCAGCACCAGGAGGCGCCTGAGGCAGATCACGCACTCGGCCTTCAATCCCACTAACACCACAGCAAGGCCACAAAGGACCCCTAGACTGCATCGCCAAACCTCACTCAGGACCCTGACCCTGCACAACCAGACTCCCAGGTTCTTGGCCTCGCGTCCTGCAGGGGTCACACACCGCACTCGAGGCCTTAGCGCTCCACCGGGGCACCCAGACTAGTCTAGGGTGGACTGGAAAAGCAGAACATGACATCCGAGGGCACATTTCATGTCCTTCTTTCATATTTCAACATGCATTCCAGAAAATTTTTAGCAGTCCCATGCCTCCCTTAAAGAAGACAGATGCAATCCCCAGAGTTGGGGGAAGGGTGCTGGGAGACAGATACAGGTCACCTTTGGGAACTGGAGTTAGGAGCAACTCCAGGTTTCCCACTGAACTCCCAGCTGAAGCATTGCTTGGTTGCTAGCCAGCCTGGTTCTGGCTCCTTGCTGGACACGGAGGCAAGTGCCTCTAGAATTCTTGAAGAACAGAGGCAGGTGCAGGCAACAGAGGCTCCACAGGCAACCTCCAATTTCATTTAACAAAGAATGGGTCGCTTAGGGCAGCGTTTGCTCTCCAGCCAACCAAAACCTATGTGGTCATTATTTTAAATTATATCAGAGGAAGGGTGCTAGGAGACAGATACAGGTCACTGTAGCTAGAGGAGGTGGCCTGTCGTGTGGTTAACAGCTGGTCAGGAGGAGGATGGCTGACCTAGACTTTGGCCTGTCCTTTCATGTTCCGAAGCCATGTTTCAAGGGGAGGAGACAAAATCAATCAAGGTAATAGGAAGGACAAAATAATGATACTTCATTTCTGGAAGTTTTGAGACTGTTGCATCCTTTAAAAAAAATTAGATGGGGGGTTGGGAGAAAATAAAGGTTAGTGTCTAGCAACTGCAGTTAGCCCACAGCTAAGCTGATTTATAGCAAGTGCAACCAGGCCACAGGCCTCTGATGCCCCTTCTCCCAAGGACTGCCCTAGCCTAGGTGGGAAAGCCACAGACAGAAGCTTTTTATTATTATATATAAAATATGTGCAATTTATTTATTTTATGTGTATGGATTTTGTCTGCATGTATGTCTGCATACCAGCATAGGACCCCTTGGCTGCTGGGAATTGAAGGTCTGTTCTTTGGGTCCCCAACTGAGTCTTTTATGGGACACAAAAGCCAGGACTCTATCTGACCCAGGGTCATCTGGTATCAGGGATCAAGGGAGGGCTGACCTCCAGCAGGAGCCTTGCTTCTTTCAGGTGACAGATGACATACGACTTCTTCCAACACCTGCAGGCTCTCCTGAGAATGCCCAGGAGGGCACTGTCAGGGCACCTGCATCCCGTCTTACTTCCGGGAAGCCTGACCTAACACAGAGCATTAAAACAATTAATAGAGTTGTCCAACTGAAGGACTCAGGCTTCTCACTAAAGATATAAAAATGAGGCACCACCAGACACACACATGATGTACCTACACCACCAGGCACACACATGATGTACTTACACCACCAAGCACACACATGATGTACCTACACCACCAGGCACACACATGATGTACCTACACACTTACAAGCAAATCACGCATATAAAATAAAATAATATGTTTTATAAATATGAAAAGAGCACAGACTGCTCTTCTAGATAACCCCAGGTGCAATTCACAGCCCCCACACGATGGTTCACAACCATCTTTAACTCCAGTCCCAAGTGATCCAACAATCTCCTCTGGCCTCCATGGCATCAGGCATGCAAGTGGTACACAGACATGCATACAGACAAAACACCCATACACATTTTTTTAATACCAAAATAAATAAATATATTTGTTAGATTTCAAACTCCAAACAAATGGCTGAGTTACTTACTTAACATATCAAAGCAGACACTGGCTGCCACGTTCTCTCTGCATCTCCCCCCACCAGGTCCCTACCTGTGTCAGGGCCCTCCTGGATGGGGTACCTTTGGAGAGTCAGATCAACAGCTTGGTTGGGAGGAGTTCCTTGGGGGAGGGAACTCCTTTATGCCATTCCCAGATTTCAGTACCAGATGAATGGGAAAAAAAAAGAAAAAGAAAAAGAAATAAGGAGGAAAGAACATGACCGCTCCTAGGTACGGTGGAGGAGGAAGTTTATTATAGGTATTATAGGCATTATAGGTATGGCATGTGGGAGAGCATAGCCAGAGGCAGGAACATCTGGGAGAGTCCAGAGTGGACATGCCCCTGAGCCATGTGAGCAGAGGGGGAGAGGTAAGAGAGGAGAACCAGGTGCAGCATCCAGGATGCCCAAAGGAGAGCAGGCTAAGCAAAGTGGTTGGATTATGGAGCTGGAAAGTTCAGGGTAGGGGTGGGGGTGCCTGCCAGGACTCTCTAACAGATACGGTCTGAGGGATGTAGGGAGAGCCTGGCCCCTGGTTTACTTTGATATGTTAAGTAGGCACCTTTGCCTCAGGTTTGAGACCTAACAATATTTACTTCAGATTTCTTCTGAAGTTGAATGAAAGTGAGAGTAGACATTTTTTTTCTTAAAACAAAACTGGGCTTGGTGGTACACACCTGTAATCCCAGCACTTGGGAGGCAGAACAGCAGGATCAGGAATTCAGGGTCATCCTCAGGTGCGTTGCCAGTTCAAGACCAGCCTGGGATTCATGAGGGCCTGCTCAAAGAAAAAACAAAAAACCTATCAATAGTCCCCGGGATGTAGTTTGGTGGTCCTAAGTATACACAAGACCCTGGATCCACCCCCCACCCCCACCCCACTCCAGACTACATAAACATCTCTCAAGACTAACTCCTCTCTGGCAACTGGGAAGCAGAAAGTCAGGTGACAATTGTCTTAGCCGGCCTGAGAAAGCGGAGCCCAGTGCCAGGAGAAAGCCAAGAAGCAGCATGAAATGTGACCTCATTTCCCGAGCTCTGAAGGACTCGGCTGCTGTACCAGATGCCTCTGAAAGTGGATATTCAGGTAAGACTAAAGTCAAGCTCTCCGTCAGAAATCTGTTCCAGTAGCAGCTGGTGCTCTGTCCCCTCTACTCAGCTGTCACTTCTCCTCTTTCACCCAGGTTGAAGGCTGGAAGGTTGAAGGGCCTTCTCTGGGAGGGTAGAGAAGGGTATTTTGGGGGTAGGAGTGCCAGATTCAGTCAAGGTACTCTGGTCATCAAAGGCAGCCTGACACTTGGGGACTTAAAACAACGACCACTTATTTCTGCCTTGTCAAAATTCATGAAGTTGTGAGTCAGTGCTGGGCTAGGCATGCCCAATACTTCCTATCAGTGTGGTATCAATGGAGGCTGATTGCTATAGCAGGCTAGCTGTATTCACCAATCTGGAAGATTCATTCATCTGTTGGGCAATATGCAGGCACTATGACAACAGTGTAGAAGACTGCCCTCCAGTGGTACCATCCACCAAAAAACCTGCATATTCTATATCACCCCTCAAGTCAGATTTCCTGTGTGGAAGTTCAGGGTTACCAGAAAGAATGCTGTAGGAGAACCATTAGTAAGGAGATCAGACATGTCTGTTACACTCTATAATCTGCAGTCACTAAGACTCACCAGGCTCTAGGGCTCCACTTTAGGCTCCATTGCTAATTGTGTCTGAATGTGGGTGAGCATATGTGAGGGGTTACGGCCATCTTTAATCTAGGGTAGGAGGTTTACCCAGGCCTAGGGTTACTCTGTTGACGTTAAGGTGGTAAATACTGAACTGTTCCTGTTCTGCACCTAGAACACTGGTCCTGGGATTATAATCATGGAGTTGGGAGACTGGGGTCTCTCTCTGGGGAATCTAAGAGCAAAACCATAAAGAAACTGTCATCAGCTACTCAGAAACTGGAGGTAACACTAAGGTTAATAAAGGCATGCTGCCAAGCCCCGCCCACTCACAAGAGCAGGTGTTAGCTTTTCCTCTAAGCTCTGCCCAATGGTTACCTAGCAACAGCCAGGTAAGAGCCTAGCTCAAGTATAAAAGGACTGTTTGGGGGGCGGGGCTTCCCCAACCCCTGTCCGTTTTCTGTCTCCCTTCTTTCTCTGCCTCTAACAGAAAGCTGCCAATCTCTCTTGTGGGATTGCTGGACAAAATTCAGGACACTTAGTTACACTGGGATTTCATCTGGACATGGTGGTGCCTGACAAATCCCAGCACTTGTGAGGTAGAAGAAGCAAAAGTTCAAGGCCAGCCTGGGCTACATGAGAAACTCGATGCCAGCCCGAGCTACATGAAACTCTATCTCAAAAAAAGAGATAGAATAGATATTCTTTAAGAAGATAGTCAGGGAACTAAACCTGTTCTTTAATTTTTTTTAAAGGATAAGATCTTTTAAATTAAAAATATAAAAACAAAAGAAAGACTGACCCAGTGAGATGACTTACCTGCCACCAAGCCTGGTGACCTGGATTTGATTCCTGAGAGCAGCATGACAGAAGTGAATCCTGCAAGTTGTCCTCTGATCTTCTTGTTCGTACATGCCATGGTGTGAACACACACACAGGTACATACATACATACATACATACATACATACATACATACATAAATGTAAATCAAGTTTAAAGAAAAAGCTCAGTATGAGAGGTGAGAAGGGAGCGTTAGGAAGTGCTCTCACTAAGACAGAGCCTACCTACGTCTCTCAAGAGGCAGAGGCAGAGGATCTCTGTGAGCTCCAGGGGAGCCTGGTCTACAGAGCAAGTTCTAGGACAGCCAGGGCTGCACAGAGGAACTCTATCTCGAGAAACAACAGCAATAACAAAGCACCACCATGACAACATGCAGCCATCCTCCGGTATCCTCAGGAGACTGCTCCCAGAACCGAGAGCAACACTAAAAATCTCACCTGTCTTTGCTATTTGCTTTGCTTGGTTTTGTTGTTGTCGC